AGGTTGTTTTTTGACATTGAGTTGTGTGAGTTCTTTGTATCATTTGGATATTAACCCCTTACTGGGGTAATGTTTGTAAATATCTTCTATTCAGTAGGTTGCCTTTCTTGAGAGAAGATCCTGAACCCTTAGCTTAGTTGAGTCCTGCTGACAAAGGCTTTCATGCCCTCCGCCCCACCCATGTACCTCCTCTTCACAGCACTGATCTCAGTTAGTGATGTGTTTTGGAGGGTGTGTTTGTTTAATATCCAGAGCTCCCATCGGACCACAAAGGCTCATGTCTGTTTTGTTTCTCTGCTATGTTCCTGGGGCTCAGAAGAGTGTGCCTGGTATAAGAGATGCTCAGTTAACAAGTGCTGAAAATTTGAATGAATACTCGAGTAAGTGAATAAAGGAGAGAAGTGAGCCTTGGACCAAAATGAATTTGTGAGGAGGTAGGAATCTGGACACAAGTAGGATATGACTGTCCTCACCACTCTGGCTCTGTTATCTTCTGTGAGCAGGGTAAGAAAGGCTGAAGAGCAGGTCCTCCTCTATGTGCCAGCTGAGTGGGCAGGAAGGGCTGGTGTATATTCGAAGCTCACCACCACGGCGATAGCCACTTGGCAGACCAATGTCACCTCTATTCTGCTACCATTGGCCACCCCAGCCATCTCCTACTGCTCTTCTCTAGAGCCTCAGGGCCACTCTCCTCTTCCCATAGCCCTCTGGCCCTCCCAATGTGAGAGCTGATCAAGCTTCAAGGACAACTCATTTCATTCGACCTCAAAGAGTTGGGCAGAGGTGGGCTCTCAGAAGAGAGGTATGGATTCCTTGACTCCCATCATAGTCTTTGGGTCCTGGTGCCCTCCTCCATGTCAATATTTTAAATGGGAGCAGGCTCCAGACCTCCCACTCTTCCTTTATGAGGCTGGGTGGGGCAGGTGCCCAGGGATTTAGATAATTCCTACAGAAATCCATCCATCTTCTTTGCCAGGACCATCTCTCTGGGGGAGCATTCAACTGCCCTTGAAGGTTACCAAGAACCTGTGATTTCGCTCAATCCCCTGCACCCCCACTGCTGGTTTCCCTGAAGCTCTGGATTCATTGCTCATCCTTCCCTCATCTTTAGGGCTTCCCTGATAGCTCAGCTGGTAAAGAATCCACCTGCAATGCAGAAGACCCCGGTTTGATTCTGGGGTTGGGAAGATCCCCTGCAGAAGGAATATGCTACCCATTCCAGTATTCTTGGGCTTCCCTTGTGGCTCAGCTGGTAAAGAATCTGCCTGCAATGCAGGAGACCTGAGTTTGATCCCTGGGTTGGGAAGATCCCCTGGAGAATGGAAAGGCTACCCACTCTAGTATTCTGGCCTGGAGAATTGCATGGACTATATATTCCATGTGGTCACAAAGAGGTCGACCCAACTGAGCAACTTTCATTCATTCATTCTCTCATCTTGAAATTCACTCCTCCTTGGCATTCTTTTTTTTTTTTTCTTAAAAAAAATCTGCTTGTTTATTGATTGATTCTGTTCCCCAGAAAGTACAAATCTCTATGACTCTAATAATTATTTAGATATTACCAAGAATGGACTCATACAGCCATAGAATACCAGTGCTGGGAAGGCTCTTAGAGTCCATCTAGTAAAATCTTATTTCATCAAGGCATGGATTGAATGAAATCATCAAAACTTGATCAATTTTGGCTCTCAAAAACATAATTAAAAAAATTTTTTTCATTGGTGGATAATTGCTTTACAATGTTGTGTTGGCTTCTGCCACACAACCACGTGAATCAGCCATAAGAATATGTATGTCCCAACACTCTTGAACCTCCCTCCCACCCCCAACTCCATCCCACCCTTTTAGGTTGTCACAGAGCACCAGGTTGCCCCCTGGCATTCTTATAGAACTTCTGCCTCTGTGATTCCTTATTCTCACTTGCTGCCCCATCTTTTCTCCCCCAAAGCTCTAAAGGTCTCAGTCCTTCCTATTCTCTCAGTCTCTCTCTCTCACTGGCCTATCCATTCCTGCAGCTTCAGGGATCACTGCCAGGTGGAGTATCATTCTGCCTTCTGACTCTGCCCGGAAGCACTTGCCTGTAGGATAAACTCAAAGGCCTGAGCAAAACCCTCAAGGATGCCACCATCTTCCACTTCTCGTGCAGAACCGCAGCTGCCCAGACCATATGAGACAGGACTAACCCAGCCAAAGTTACTCTTACAGTACATTTCTGCCTTGCCCAGCTGGTCATCGTGTCTCCCAGAAGGGAGGCCCTGTGTACAGGGTGTGTTCAGAAGGACTATCTCCCAGAGTTGAAGGAGACTTGGGCAATGAGCTTGAGCACCCACGAGGGCTGCTCTCCTGGGAGGGTAGCAGGTGGCAGCCTGCCACCTGGGTCCCTCACCCCCAGGTGGAGGGGCATGCACTACACAAGGCCTCTCTCCCAGGATATGAGTAAATGGTGGTGTGAATGGATGATGGCAAAGAGGTTTGGGGTTTGAAACCATGTCATTTGGGACTGAAGAGGATAAGGAGGCATTTGAGGACTATCAAAGGCTGAAGATCCAAGAAGGTGTCACTGGATGTGGGGCTCAGGAAGCATCTCTTGGTGGGATTCATAGGAATAGACTCCTTGGCCCTCTAGCTAAAGTCCTTCACTTTGACCAGGCTGGACCACACACCCTGCACTCAGTTGTTTGTTTACTGGCTCATCTCTTATCTCCCCTTCAGACTGGAATCTCCACTAAGTGGATTCTCCACTATCCTGCTCTCTGGTGCTCTAGGCATTCCATCAATGTTTGCTGAGTGAATCAGTGAACAAAACATTGCCCGTTTCCAATTCTTTGCTTTTGTTCTGTTTCCTCCTTGTAGATGCTCTGCTCCCCCACCCCCATCTCTCTTTACTTGTCAAACCACTGCCCCCATCCTTTAAGGCCCATTGTAATGGTGTCCTTCTGATTCTCTCAGCTTGGAGCCATAACTCTTCACACTGAATCTCTGTGGCACATGGCTTGGCACTATCATATTAATTTACACCCTTTGCTTTGGGTTATAATGACTTCTGTACCCATCTTGGTCCTAGTAGAGAGTGAGTTCCTTGGGGGTGGGGCAATATACATCATTTGTATATTCTTCCTTCCCTCCTCCCTGGCACAGTGCTTTCTATGCAGTAGGCTCAATATAAGAAGGCAAGGGTATTGATTGTTGTCAGTGGCCTCTTACTGGTCCAGATACTGCTTTTTTAAAACCCAAGGTGGGGCCCCTGAGCCTCCTTTCCCTGGGCTGGGCACTCGGCCCTGCTGACTGGATCACGTCCAAGCTCTGCCTCCTCCCTCCCCCACCAATCCCTGCTCACACATTGCCTAAATCTTGCCCTGCCCAGTACCATTTCAGATATTTGCGTGGCCTGACCACAGCAAGGTAGCAGGGGAAAGACTGGGCTGTATGGATAGTCTGGTCCTCCTAGGCCCTTTGGCAAGCACCCAGGAGAGCAGAGATTGCCTGATATGGAGGGAGCTGGGCTCCAGGGCCCCTGTATGGTCCCCATGCCCTCATTACAAGTAAAGCATAGAGTGAACCTAGTGCATGTCTGTGTCTCCAAGCAGTGTTGTGCTGACAGAGGCAATAACAGGATGTGTGCGTGAGGGGTGGGGGTGAGTGAGTCATCAGGGAAGGGCAGAACCCAGAGGAGCTCATAGAATAGATCTTCCCCAACCCTTGCTGTTTGGGTTGCCAGAGACTGACAGGCAGTTCTTCCGGGGAGATTTAACCCTGGTATTTCGAGGGTCTTCATCCCTGAGTCAGACCCAACACCCACGCTTGGTCCAGAGGTTTTTAAACACTGGATTTTTGCAGAATCACCTTTGGTGTTTGTTCAATAGAGATGTCTAGGGCTGCCTGGACACCCGATTTGCACCTTGACTTGTAGATCTAGTCCATTCCTCATATCCCTAGGGAAATTCTTACCATGGTGCCAGCTTCTTGCTGAGGGCAGTGGGTAGATGCCCCTGGGATACCTGGAAAAGGAGGCAGCCTTAGAAAGCAAGATCAAGATCAGGGGTCAGGCTGCAGGTAGTGAGGGTGGTGAGTGGAGAGGTGACAGAGGAAGTGCTTGCTGGCTGGAGGTGAGCAGAAGGCTGGGCTGACAAAGGAGCTGCACCTGAAGGGCTGCTTGGCCTTGGTTGATTAGAATAGAATTGGTGGAACTGGGGAAGATGGGAGCTGGAAGGGTCAGCTCCCCCCTGATACTCAGAAACAGAAACCTGCCCCCTACAAAGATATAAAGCTATTCATCTGCAGTAGTCAGCAAGAGACACTAATCTGTACTTTTGAGAAGAATTCAACAAGCAAAGTTTGCTGAGCTCACTCAGAGAAACTTGTAGGAGGTTGCAGGAAACCCAGCAAGGACCCTGAAAACACACATGTGTGTGTGCACGAGCGCACACACACAAACACACACACGCACACACTAGAACATGCATACACGCGTGCATACACACACACACACAGTCTAGAGGACTAATGTAGTGGCTCAATGCAGACTCTAGAATTGACGTCCTGAGATCAAATTCCAGCTCTTATATGGGTCCTCAGCCACCTTAACCGTTAATGCCTCACTTTTCTTCTCAAAAAAAAAAAAGAAATGGGGCTATTCATCATCCTACTTCATCAGATTATCATTAAGATTAAATGAGTTATATACAGAAAGAAGTTAGAGCAGTGCCTGCTATATAGTAAGCATCATACAAGCAGGTGCTGTTGTCATTATTATTATTTTAGATTTAGAATATGGATATCTAGGACGCAGCACCCAGGGCAGATCTGTTTAGACTCTTGCTCTACTCGGAGTTTGGTCCACTGACCAGAAACATCACGAGCTCATTAGCAATGCAGTCTCGGCCCTGGTCCTAGATGGACTGAATCAGAATCTGCATTTGACAAGCGTCCAGGTGAACAGGTGAGCACAATGAAGTTTGTGAAGCACAGCTGTAGAACACACAAGAGAACACGCCCAGAAACTAGATCAGCAGCAGGGTGAGACTCCAGCCAATGGCCTAGAGGGTGGGGAGTGCTAATGTAAGCGTTCAGGCACACACGTATTGTACAGTGTGGCAAGGGTGTTCCCTTTCCTTATCCCTTCCATCCATTTTCAGGTCTATCCGCCTTCCAATTCAGTCATCCATTCTACCAACTACCTCCATCCATCCTCCCTCCCATTCATTCATTCCTCCTTCCATCCATTTTCTATCCAACTCTCTCTCCACCCATCCTATCATCCATCCTCTTATCTGACTATATATCTATTGTCTTCCTATCAAGTCACCCTGTCAACCATGCTCCTATCTGTCCATATCCCCCTATCCAACCATCTATCCTACCATCCATTCATGTTCCCATACTCTCATCCTTGCTTCCATTTATCTCTATCCAATCATCTATCCACTTGTGATTTGTCCCCCCTGCCTTCCTCCTGAACAAACACACCTTACTCCTTTAGTTTCCCCCCACGTATTTATTTATCTTCCCACAGTTTCCACCCTTGGAAGCATAAAGCTGCTTTCCTTTGTCCTGACATTTCTCTACAAAGGTATTATTCATAGCTGAAGATGCTATATAAGCCGCAGTTCTAAGCCACCGCTTAGAGTGACTCTGTTTTAGGTTCCCCCTGCCTGATGAGCACTGCACACAATAATAAACTCTTTATTTTCCTCCTGTTAATCTTTCTTTTTGTTATAGTCTCAGCTGAAAACCTAAGGTGGGTGGAGGTAAAGTTTTGCCTTCCTTGCACTCCCATCCATTCATCTGTGCATCCACCCATCATCCTTTCATCTTTTTATCTGGTTCTTCATCCATGCTTATATATGTGCATCCATCCCATTTATGCATCCATCCATCCTATATTTTCGGGGAAACACAGAGGACTTAGTCTTTGCTCTCATAAAGCTAACACTTTAGTGGAAGTTACAATGACATAGGTGATGACTGACTAAGTGCCATGTTGAGGGATGTATCTTGGGTCATGGAAATTCAGAGAGGGGACACCTGACCTGAATTTGAGGCCTCAGAGAACTGTGAAGTTGAGGCTGAGACCTGAAGGCTGATGATAGTTTACAAGATGTTAACAGGAAACAGTGTTCCAGGCCAAGAGTAAAGAGAAGCTGAAAGTAGTTCTCTGAGGCTGGAGCCCCAGCCTGGCCAGCTCCTGGCCTTCCCCTTTGCCCAGCCAAAGGTATTGAGACATTGCCTAAGACTAGAACAACTTTATAGACCTGGAGCAGAGAAATCATCCTCTAAACCACAAGACTTATTTGAATCCTTAACATTTGTAGACGTGATTGACAAAGCTTTCTGCCTGGCCTCTCACAAGGCCCCCCCCTCCCCCCACTCTAAGTTTAAAATGTTTGTGTGAGTATTTTACTTGGAGGAGCATTTAATGTGACTGATCATTTACAGCTGAGTCAGGACTCAAACCCTGGTCTGAGAATTCTACACTATTTCCAGTGAACTAGTGTACAGTGTTTACATCCACAGGGACATCAAGGTGAGTAGACCGAAACTCCATTTATTTTGCAGAAGGACCTGAGGCCCAGAGGGGAATGGGCTCATGGCCATGGTCACAGTCTGAAGCAGAATCAAGTGTGTCCCAAGCACTGGTCTTCTCTTTGCCACTCCACAGGCCTGCATTTGCCATGAACATGTCCCGACACCCCCAGAGAGCTAGGGTGTATCTCCAGTGATGCTCTGCACATGGTGGGACCATGTAAACACTTTTGGGGAGACATAGCCCAGGCTGGGCTCTGGCAGTGGTGAGGGTGGGATCTGGAGCTTGGGCTGGGGTTTGTCCCCAGGATAACGGATTCTGTGCTCTGTGGGGAGCCAAGCATCTGGAGAGGACCTGCATAGTAGGGGAGGGTTTGGAGGAATGGCTTTTCAAATTCCTGCCCAGCCTGTTACAAACTGTGTGCCTTTGGCCTTGTGAACTAAACTCTCAGAGCCTCAGTTTCCTCATCTGCAAAGTGGGACGATCATGATTGCATCTATCTCACAGGGCAGTTTTGAGAATTAAATGAAGTAATACATGTGAAATGCTTAACACAGTGCCTGACACATAAGTGTTTCATAAGTGGTAATTAGTGTTATTTCTGAGGGCTGGGCAGAATGTGTGTGTGGGGTGGGGGCAGGGTAGTGCAGTACGTCTGCAGCGTTTTCCTGCCATCCAACCTGGAGATGAGCCTAGCTGACTCCAGAAGGGTATGGACACCTGGTCTCCACCCTGAGGTGAGTCAGTGTTGATGGCAAAGTGCCCACTTCCTAAGGCCTGGCACTGTCCCTTGTGAGGGTCATGTTTCTTACCCCCCCACAGGGACCACATGCTCTGTGGTTGTGTCTCTAGCACTGGGAAGGGGGCCTCAGGAAACCATGTGTACCTCCTCACCCCGTGCCCCTGGGAACCAGTGCAGGACATGTCCCAGGGCAGGGAGAGGACCCCCCCACCCCGAATTACCTGTGACAGGCACCGCAGGTAGCGAGACACCGCCTTCCGAGCGGGGCTGTTCCTGACCAGCTCGTCCTCCTTGCAGGGCACCTTGGCCAGAAAGAGCTGCACCTGACTGGGGGTCATGTTGGCAAAGTCTAGAAACTTCTCGGGGTCCACGGAGCTGCTGAACGCGCACACGAAGCACTTCCCGTCGAGGAGGGCCAGCAGGATCCAGACGAGGGGGGCGGCCAGCGCTCTCTGCAGTACAGAGGAACACATGTACCTGGGAACAGAGGAAGGGAGGGGGAACACAGGGCAGCCGGAATTCAGCTACAGCAGGAAGGCTACAGGGGGGATGTGAGGATGAACTTCCCAGGACTGTTTGGTTACCCCAAGGGGAGGGTTGCAGCTCCCACTGCAGAGGCCTGAGCAGCAGAGGGTGGGGGAGAAGCACAGCTGGGGTCCTGGGAGCCCTGGGACTGGAACACTGGGGAGCTGGTGTTCTTCCTGCCTGAGCCTTTGTAGCAGACTCTGTTGGTGCTCTGCCCAGGCCAGAAGCATCTAGAGCTTTGGTGGGTAGTTTCTAGTCACGTGGAGGGCCTGAAGGCCTCTGACCTCAACCCCCTGCGTGGCTCTGTCTGGGGCTTTGGAGGAGTCCCTGCTCCCAATGGGGGGTGGCCTGGAGGGTTCATGTCCCCAAATCGACCTCAATCCCAGAAGGCAGGGTGGTAGTTTAATGCCCCAGCATCTGGGACCCTCAGTGGAACGATTCTGAAGTGGGTTCTACCCACTCCCTTAGGCTCCTCAGAAGGACTGAGCCCCAGTTGCCTCCTTATTATCACTTCTTCCCAGAGCCTGCTTTTGGGGGGACCCTAAACTAAGAGGGGGACAAGGCTATGGCACCCCACTCCAGTACTGTTGCCTGGAAAATCCCATGGATGGAGGAGGCTGCGGTCCATGGGGCCGCTAAGAGGGTCCCGTGGAATGACCTGCCCAGAGACGGCCCTTGCACACCTCCCTGCAGTGTCCAGGGGGCTCCCGATTGTCCCCAGGCGCCTCTTTTGACCTACTACATCTAGTGGCCTGAACTGGGTGTTGGTCACCGGACAGGAGCCCAGTGGAGCTGCAAGCACGAGACCCTAGGGGAAAAGCCTCCCGGCGTGACTGAATCACAGGGAGCTGGGAGCCCCTGGGAACATAAAAGAGAGGCCGCTTGTGCACAGAATGCAGGTGTTTTTAACTTGCGTGTGTGCTCACTCACTCAGTTGTGTCTGACTCTTTTTGATCCCACGAACTGTAGCCCACCAGGCTCCTCTGTCCATGGGATTCTCCAGGCAAGAATCCTGGAGTGGGTTGCCATACTCTCCTCCAGGGGATCTTCCCCACCCAGGAATCGAACCTGGGTCTCATGTTTCCTGCATTGGCAGGCAGGTTGTACACAAAACATAGGATGGTGTGTGCTGGCTGTGTGTGTGTGTGTGTGTGTGTGTGTGTGTGTGTGTGTACATGGCCTACCTGGTGGTGAATTATAAATATGTTGTAGTCAGGGGTGGCTCCATCATTTTCTATGGGGGCAAAGGAGTTAGAAGGTGGAACCAAAGACCTGTTATGAAGTTACATGACATGCCCTTGAGAACACCCCAGTTGTCCATATCAATAGGGGAGAGAAGATCGTGAGTGAACTAAAACCCACCAAGCCTCTCCTGCCACTGCCCGTGGATCTAGAGCACTTAGGTATTTTCTCTAAAACACTCAGGGCAGCGGTTCCAGGTTTGACTTGAATCGGAGCCTCTTCCTTGCTGTGGGAGCTCAGCCAAGTGACTTAACCTCTCTGTGCCTCAGGTCCTCCATCCGTAAAAATGGATCCAAGACAGGAGCACACCCAGGGCCGAGGTGAGAATTCAGAGGCCATGCACACACAGCACTTGGCACAGAGCTTGGCTCACTGTTGGCCAGGGAACATTATGAAATGCTTAAGTCCGTCAGCTTTTCTTCTCTCTTTTTTTCATGTGTGCCACGTGACTTGCAGGATCTGAGTTCCCTGAGCAGGGATTGAACCCAGGCCATAGCAGTGAAAGAGTAAAAATGCCAAGCCCTAACCACTGCACTGCCGGGGAATTCCCCATCAGCTTTTCTTGATACAGGGCACCGACCGGGGTCTGAGGACACAGTGATAGCAGATGAGGTCTTTGCCCTCGGGGAGCTTGCAGGAGACGGGATGCAGCCTTCAAGCCAACCAAACCTCTCATATGTGTAATACGGTATGCACATCATGGGATGGTTCTTCATGCATGTGGGGAGTTACAATCCATGGCCAGCAGGACAGACATGACCTGGATAATTCTTAGGAATCCTGTGTCTTTCCCACGTCTTTATCATTGGGCATGGAAAGATTACAGACAGAAATATCTGTTTCCAGAGTGGAGACTGGCAAATCTGTCTCAGTGAACTGATGGTGCCTTGGTATCATTTTCTGGGGGAGAGCAGGGGGCACATCTGAAAGTAGGGTGCCTGTGGGGGTGCCCGGGGGAGCCCTAACCATGCCCATGGGGGTCACTGGGGTTCGGGGAGCCCCTGGCAGTGCTTATGCAGTTGGGGGAGCCCCTGACAATGCCCGTGGGGAGCTGGGAGATGTGGGACCGCACCTGATGATGCCCGGGTCCTTCCTCCGGTGCCCGGCAGGCCGGCGCCACTCTTCCACCATCACCACGGACTGCCGGTTGGCCAGGAGGCCACAGAGGAACAGGGCGATCGGGGGCGTGAACAGCAGGCCCAGTCCGTAGAGGGCATTGTAGCGCGCCAGGCAGGGGCAGTTGAAGTCGAACGAGGAGTACAGCTTGACGGTGACCATGGCCAGCAGCAGGCAGATGCCGTTCATCACCGACTCGGAGCTGGACTGGAAGTGCTGGAACAGCGTGCGGAATTTATCCATGGCTGCGGCCTGGGTGGGTGGCAGCTGCGGGTGCGGGGCAGGCAGGCTCCCGCTGCCTTCCTGTTCAATGCTAGCCAAGCTGGGGGCAAGCCGGGGGCTGCAAGAGGTTCTTCCAAGGGCCCGAGGGGACTAGGAGAAGACGGCGTCCGGCCAAGGGTGTGAGGCAGAGGCAGGCTCTCGCTACAGGCTCCCCTGCCCGGCCCAACTGTCTCCTACTGCTCCCCTCCTCTCTGGGAGATGAGTCACTGATTTGTGACTGGCCAGCCCGCAGCACCTCTAGGCAAATGGGCCCCACCCTGTCCCTCCATCCCTCCCCAGCTGATTCCTTCCTTTCTTCAGGGTTTGGATACTGAAGTGGGACAGCTGGTGGGGCTGCCCGTGGGGGACAGGCAAATTCTGGGTATGATTAAGACCATGGCACTGATGGAGCCAGTTACATTTTCTGGCTCTTGGTTAAGAACATGGCTTAGCTCAGCTGAGCCCAGGGAGCTTTCACATCGGTTTTTGTGCTGGGAGGAACCAGGAGGGGCGCCTTACCCTGTCTGAAGACATCCTGGAAGAGAAGTCTTTTGAACAGCATTTAAACTGTTTTAGTGTTTGCCCGGGTTGGGGAAGGGGAGGCCTTCTAGATGGAGGGTACTGCTTGGTCAAGGGCATGGAGGTGAGAAGCAGCCAGGTGTGGGTTGGCAGTTTGAGGTTGCTTGACTGTAGTGTCAGATGGGGGGCATTGGGAGAGGGGGTGGGGGCTCAGTGAGTGCCTGTGACCCTTTCCTCCACTTTATTCTGCTGCCCTTCAGGTCTGGCCACTGGCCAGCCCAGATCTCCCTAAAGCACGGTTCCCACTACATAACACCTCTGCTCTAGTGTGGCCGGGCCCCCTCAGCCTCCTTGTCGTGACATGCAAGGCCCTCATGTTTGCAGATGCCTCCTCCCCTGGAGAACCCATGTCCCTTCCTCTCACTTGCTCTGCAAGAGGCAGCTCGGATGCACCCTTTCCTCAAGCTGCCCCTGGTGACCTTAGCTCTTGGGAGCCTCTCCTCCCATTTGGCCCTTGGAAAGGCCGCTCCTGCCTGCTGCTCCAGCCTCCCAGGTGTGGGGTGGGTCTCCGAGCTAGGATGGGACCTGCCCTCACACCTGCCCATCCCTGCAGCCTCCAGCAGGGTGCCAAGCACACCGCAAGGGCGGCAGAGGTTTGTTCTCTGTGATGTTGACACTCATTCCCCCTGCTTCCATCTCTAGCTTTGTCCTCTCCGCCCAGGCCCTGACCTGCACCTGCCTCTCTGTCTGCTCCTAGGAAGCAAATGGAATGAAGATGCTGCTTTTAGCTCTCTCTGTCTCTCTCCCTCTCTCATTCTGTTTGTCTCTCCATCTCTGACTCTGCCTTTCTCTGTGTTGTGACTCTCTGTGTCCCTCGGCATGTGTGTCTGAGTCTTTCCGTGTGTCTTTCTGTCTCTGTCCCCCTCTCTGTCCTGCAGTCTCTTCCTATCTATCTTTCCCTCCTCCTCACCTGCAGCCCACCCCACAACACCCTGTCTTCCTGGCCCCCAGTCCTGACCCTCACTGGTCCCTAGTCCTGACCCAGGCAGCCTGACTTGGGGAGGGGAGTGGAGGCAGCCAGAAGAAATGCTCCTGGTCACAGATCCATAGGCGTGGCCTGAGCCTGGGTGGGGAGTGGGGGCAGCCCAGGCTCTTCCTCAATCTTCTCCCCTCTATCCCTCACTGGCAGCTCAGAGCTGCCCCTGAGCCAAGGAAAACCTCAGGCGCTGGGGTGCCCTTGACTCCGCTGACGCCTGCTCCATCCAGCCTGGACCAGTGGGCATCTGGGACCCCCAGGGATGTCACCAGCACTTGCCTCACACGGTCACAAGTGCCACTCCCATGAGCCCTCTGGAGCACAGGGGGCAAGTATCTTTCTGAGTCCTTCCGGGCCCAGGGGCTCAGCAACACCCTCCAGTCTTCACAGAGCCCATCTGCACTGTGGCATCTGCACTGATCGTCCTTCTTCCTGTAATTTCAAACAACTTTTAGACAATGGAAATATCTCTATCTTTTTTTTCTGATTAAACACACCATTATGAAAAAGATAAAAATAGAGAATATGAGTGTCCCCATGACTGCCCTCCCCTCCCGCTGCTCCGGGCCCCCGGAGTCTCCTTGTCCCCGTATCAGTGTGTGTTGCCCCACACTGGCATGCCATGCCATTGGTCTACCCGACCTTCCTCTGGAGACTCCGGGGGCCACCGAGTGAAGCTCTGGGTGAGCTACTCACCTGCCTGGGGCCCCGGGACTGCTGGGAGAGGGGACTTCCATCTGAGGCCAGTCTCCCCCTTCTCTTAACCCTCATGATACAGGAGGACTCACTGTGTTTCAGTTCCTCTGAAAAATGAGAGCCTGGCAGTTTGAGGGACCCCTGGGACCTGCCAAATGAATGCTGTGTAGATCATTTAGCCTGTAGTTTAAGTCAGATGGTCTGCAATATGTCCTGCAAACTTGCTAAGTTATCTGTGCAGTAGTAGTTACTCTGGTAGTAACAGACAGAGGCCTGGGTCCCATTCTTTGTAGTTTATCCAGGGATGTGCTTTCAGGACCTGTGTGAGGGAGGGGTGAAGGGGGAGAGGGAGGGGCATGGAGTGTGACTTTGTTGGGAGGGGAAGGGAGAGGAAAGGGGAGGGAGGGGTAAGAGGGGACAGGAGAGGAGGCGGGAGAGTTAGGGGAGGGGAAGGGAAGGGGAGAGGGGAGGGGAGGGTAAGGGAGGGCACAAGTTCTAGAGAAACCTTTCTAGCCTGTTATCATCCTGGGCTTAACTAGCAGAGAACCACCACCACCACCAGATCCTTGGGGCAGGGGAGGATGCAGGGCCCCGGAGAAGCTGGGTGTCCTGTCCTTGATCACGCAACCTGGTGGGGACAGGGCCAGGAGGGAAGCTGGGCTCCTCCTCTGTGCCTCCCAGCCCTAGTCAGCCTCAGGGCTGCTGCCAGGAGAGGAAATTGTCTGGCTAAGGCTGTGCTTCTCAACTCTGAACCACCTGAGAACAGAGGGGAGAGAGGTGGGCTGAGAAGATCTGAGCACTCAGCTCTCCCATTCTACTCTGAGAGAGGGGAGAGTGGTCAAAGGGCCGCCAGCTGCCTCTAACCTTGGGAGTCTCCAGAAAAGAATGGACAATGGGGGCTTCCCTGGTAGTTCAATGGTTAAGACCCTGTGCTTCCAGTGCAGGGGACCGGGGGTTGGATCCCTGGTCGGGGATCTAAATCCCAGGTGCCACAACTAAGACCTGTGCAGCCAGATAAATAATTTTGAAAAAGAGAAAGAATGGACAATGCGTCTGGGAGAACACTGCAGAAAACTGGGACAAGGTCTCTCCTAGGCCAGCCTGCTCATAGCTCCAACCTCTAGGAGGTGAGACAGCCCTCCCAGGTCAACCTGGGCCCTGTGCCTCACAGGAAAGGAGAACCAACTGGTGTGACTGCACTGGCCCTTGCTGGGTATTTACTGGAAAACACTCAAGCAAAAAAAAAAAAGCAAAAAGGAAACCCAGCACAACTTAAAGGGATGTTACCTCTCAGGGTGGGCAGGTGGCTTTGCATTTTAAAAAATTCTGTATTTTCTAAATTGTCTATTTTGTAATAATGATTTTTTAAATTTCCCAATAAAAATCATAAATATTTTTTACTGGAAAAACTCAAAGGGATTAAGAGACAAGGTAAAAGGGATAAAGATCACCTTTTGTTGCCTGGAGCTCAGGCCTGTTGAACAAGGAGAGGCAGAAATAGAGGGAAGATAGAAGAAAGATTTGTTATTCATGTGTGTGGAAAGCATATTAACTTGTAGATGTGCTGCAGAATAATGCCTCAGATCTGATTCTTCTAAACTCCCTACCCCACCTTGGGGTACCCCATCTTTTTTTTTTTTTTTTTAAGATTTTTTTTGATGTGAACTATTTTTAAAGTCTTTATTGAATTTGTTACAATACTGTTTCTTTCTTATGTTTTGGTTTTCTGGCCTCAAGGCACGTGGGATCTCAGTTCCCCAACCAGGGATCGAACCAGCACCCTCTGCATTTGGAAGGCAAAGTCTTAACCATGGGACCACCAGGGAAGTCCCCAGATCTTTTAACTCTGGAAAATGTTTTAAAGTCAGATTTTCATTTTAATGTTAACTTAAATCTATTTAGCAGTTTTAAATATGTGCTAACTTGCAATTGGAAGATCTTTATAGAACAACTCTTTGGTTTCTTTTTTCTTTCTCAACTTGGGGTCTTGCAGATATGTTATTGGGGGTCCTCCAGATTTTTATTTCCTTCAAAAGGAAAAAGGAATCTGAGTGTTATTTGAGAAACACTGGCGTGACTGTTCTTGGAATTCCTGTGATGGGGAGGGCTCTTTAGGACAGGGTGCCCCCTGCTAGGGGAGTCGGTGTGTCTGATGTGTGTGACATGTGTGTGGGGGGAGGTGGTATCTGTGGGGGTATGTGTAGTGTGTGTATAAGTGTGTGTGTCTTCAGAAACACAAGTGCGGCTGTGTTTCTTCTTTCTGGATAGACAGCACACTCTCCCCTGAGGTTTCCTTCAGAAGGAAGACACTGGGTGCGTGGCCCACTTTCCTGTCAGGACTGGGAGGCTATTGTTCCCTGGTGTCTCTCAGAGCTGTGGTGCCCCCTCATTCCTTGAGAGACCTGACCCTCTTCTACAAAATGACAGAGGCCTCTGTGGGATCTGGGTGACAGGCCTTTCTGGTCTGTCTCTGGCAGAGAGAGACAGAGCAACGTGGCATTTCTGTGGGCTCCACTCTGGTGACTTTGTAGAGCCACACAGCCCAGAGGGGCTGAAAAGAGAATGAAAAAAAAGGGGGAGCAAAAAATGGCACTCTGAGAAATGGCACTGGAACAGCTGGCTAACCATTTAGGAAAATGTAGGTGAATTTCTTCACGATCAGAGGCAAGGGAAGGCCGTTGTGAACAGAACACAGACTTCAGTAGTTGTGAAGAAGAAGATGGATAAAGTGGGCCCCACCACTTCTGTGAGCAAAATGCCAATAGCAAAGTAAAAATAACAAAAAGCTGAAAAAATGCATTTTTTTTTCATAAACTGCACACAAGGCCTATTTCCTACACACAAGCTGCACAAAGGCCTATGTCCTT